GATTGTTGGATAGAGAGAAGCAGGAGGCCTTATGATCGAAGGTTTAGGTTGGGTATACAGGCTGCAGAGGTTTAGGTAGGGTGTTTGGAAACAGCCAACAGTCCAGGTGGGGTGTAGGAGGCACTCATGGTGGTGGTGGTAGGAGGCAGGCTGGAGAGAGGTAAGGCTGGAGGCTTGACTTCACCTTACAGTTCATGGGTAGCTACTGAGGGTTTGTGAAGGGTTTGATAGGACCAAGGGAAACTGAAATAGAACATTCCATGAGATTACAGAACTACTCTATACTCATGAGGTAGTAAGGGCTCAACTCATACTGGCTGTGGAAAATGAAACACTTGAATTTTTAGGATTTACTGATTTACTGTGGGGTCAGCAGGTTTTTTCTGTTAAGGGACCAGAGTATTTCAGGCTCCTTTATAAGACAAACTATAGTGATGTGCAAGCAGCCATATGTGATAAACCAGTAAGTATGAATGTGTTCCAGTAAAACTTTATTTATTTACGCTAAAATATGAACTTCATATAATTTATATGAAATGTTATAAACTATTACTTTTTTCCCAACCATTTAAAAGTAAAAAACCCATTCTTAGTTCTTGGGTCATCCACAAATGGGTAGTGGCCCAGATTTGGCCCACAGGCCATAATTTGCTGACCCCTGAGTTACTTGACTGGATTTGAGATACAAAGGAGTGAGACTCAACTGAGGTTTTTTGAGTCTGAGTTGCTGAGAAAGTTAAATTATCATCAGCAAATCAGAGAAGTGAGGAGAGTGAGCAGTTTGTAGAAGAGTGAGTTCCGTTCTAGACAAATCCTTTGGTGTTTTTGAGAAGTAAATACCCCAGCACCATCAACAAGTCGGATCAAAGCGATCAGCCATGCACAAGTGGGAACAGAACAGTCGGTGCCTGAGGTACAGGTTTGAGAAGCACCACCCCATTTGCATAAAGGGGCTGGCTGATGCTATGAGGTGAGAGAGCTCTTGGGAGAACGCTGATTCTGGAGAAAGCTTATAGTTCGGGACAAGAGGGAGGGGAGCTGGTGAAGGAGTGTACAGGGTACAGGTAGGTGTCTGGTCTGTTTGAGCATAGATTAGTACACCTTGATGTAGGCAGGTCTTGTGGAAGAAACAACAGTCCATTATTCTCATACTCTCCTTTTTCCTGATCTCTAATGGATTCATTCTTTTTAAGAACCAGAGGATCATTGAGTAAAATAAGCCTCATAACTCAAGTATCAACATTCTATCCCTTGGAATGTTTCAAAGGACCTTTTACACAGCTCCATCAGGTGACATGTCAAGTGTTTGTTGCAATATGAGTTTCGGTGGTGGGGTCTGGAGGCAACCAAATGTTTGACATTGGGTGTGTGGGTAGGTAAAATGTGGATTCACATCACAGCATTGAGCAGCAGGTAGAAGAAGTGATAAAATACATTTCTATAACAAATGGACCTTTTAAAAAGATACGTAATGGGGAAAGGAGGAAAATAATGTACAGAAAAACATTCTGTAAATTAGAAAACACACACGAAACAATACTATCTTCAAGAAAATCCACAAAAAGTAGATATATTAAAAGGATTGCCTATTTGAGGAAGGAAAGGAATGGGAGTGAGATATGGAGGTGAAAGAAAAGAAACAACAGGAATAATTTTTTAAAGAAAAACAACTTAAGCAATAGGGTAGTTATATCCAAAGGATGACTGCCTTACAACCGTTTAAAGTCATATTTTATTTATAAAGAGTCTTACTATGTAAGACTTACCTTTCCTGGTGGCTCAGATGGTAAAGCATCTGCCTGCAATGTGGGAGACCCAGGTTTGATCCCTGGGTCGGGAAGATCCTCTGGAGAAGGAAATGGCAACCCACTCCAGTACCCTTGCCTGGAAAATCCCATGGTCGGAGGAGCCTGGTAGGCTACAGTCCATGGGGTTGCAGAGAGTCGGACATGACTGAGCGACTTCACTTACTATGTAACTTTAAATGACAGCAATATAAATACATGTATAGAATCTAATTTTGTAAAAAAAAAAATCTGTAATGAAAAACCTCTAACATTATTTTTTGGAGGTGGAATTGTGATTTGAATTCTTTTTATGTTATGTTCTAAATTGAATATTTATCATTTTTGTATAAGGGTAAATCAGTAAAGGGTGAAGAACTTTTAAAAACACAGACCTCCAAAGAGGGGTAAAAAAGGCAGTAGTATAATGTTGGACTGCCAGATGAGGGGGAGGGAGCATCCATCCGTGAGGTTCTTTACAGGTTTCAAGAGGACCCTCAGCAGCAAGCAAGAGGAGTGTCAGTCTGACTGCCGTCTCCTCCTGTCTCTTGTCCAGCTCTTAGAACAAGCCCTGGTGATTGAGGAGCAGCTGCGGCGAGCAGCTTACCTCAACATGTCCGAGGACCCCTCTCACCCGTCCATGGCCCTCAACACCCGATTTGCTGAGGTGGAGTGTCTGGCGGAGAGTCATCAGCACCTGTCCAAGGAGTCCATGGCAGGAAACAAGCCAGCTAATGCAGTCCTGCACAAAGGTAGCCAGTGGCTCCCCTGCCTCCTGCCAACCTGGCCTCTTTCCTTCTCTGCCTCTCCCCAGTACATGGTTACTCCTCCGGCCCCAGCCTTTCACCAGCCCCTTTGTCTGGGAGCTTAGGGTATGCTGGGGATCCTCGCCTTCCTCCTCAGGCAGCTGACATCTTAGAGGCAATCAAGGACAGTAGTTCTTTGCCTCTTAACTCAAATATATTGAAGTTCTTGGAGGTGGAAACAAAGCAGAATAATGTAGTTTCATCTGTGGTAGTGTAGAGGTAATTTCAGGTGATTTAATATCCTGTCAAGTTCTAGACCATTTTCAACATGCAGTTTCTGATTAAAGTTAAGACACTGTGAGGTGGGTGGAAGGTGAAAGGACAGAAAGAAGGCTGGTGTAAAGGAAGAAGGGAGAGCTCCAAAAGGAGAGGAAAGAGAAAAGGAAACAATAACTATTCAAGAAGTGGAGGAAATAAGAGAAAATAGGGATCAAGGGACAGGTGACTTTAAAATCATAGAATCATGGGCAGCTGGAACTGGAACATGAGGAATAAGAAATATGTGGTGGAGCCAGGTCAGGTGACTCAGTGACAATGACAGTATTTCAGCACATCAGTTACTTGGTTACTGAGAAGTACTAGGGGGAAGGGATGGTCCCCATATGGGAGGATGGACCTGGGTCTTGACCACAACGGCTCACCGCCTCTTTTTCTCCCCATGCAGTTCTGAAACAGCTAGAAGAACTGCTGAGTGACATGAAAGCTGATGTGACTCGACTCCCAGCCACTATTGCCCGAATCCCCCCAGTTGCTGTGAGGCTACAGATGTCAGAGCGTAATATTCTCAGTCGCCTGGCAAACCGGGCACCTGAACCACCTCCACAGCAGGTATAGGACCATTTTCCTCTGGCCAGCTGTTCAACAGAGCCATTCCGCAACTTGGAAACTTTGCTGTCTGTCCCTAGCTTTACAGGCTGGGCAGCGGGGTGGGCTTACTAGTGAGTTCTCTTGGGATCTGGTGGGTTGCTGTGGTCTTGGAACTCTTGACTCCCTTGGCCTTCTCTTCCTATAGGTAGCCCAGCAGCAGTGAAGACCCAGATGGAAAATACCACCTCCACCGCTGAGCAGTGACCTTCCTCACTTTCCCTTGCCCAGATTCTCCCCTGGGGGCCCGAGAGACCCTCTCCTTCCTTCTGCCCCATCTTCTAAGTTGTAGAGGAACAGCCCCCTGAGCACTAGGGGAGGGGAGGGAGTGAGGGGCAGTGGTGCCCTTCCTGCTGGAGAGACGTGCAGCAGTAGCGCCGGGGCCATCTGCAGGGAGCTGGCGGGCTGGCCTTCTGGGCCCTGGCTTCTCCCCACTGTAACACCGTCTGTTACACACGAACTGTTGTGGGTTCCCGCCAGGCTTGAAGAAAATGATCTGAATTTCTTCCTCCTTCCGGTTTTATTTTGTTGGTTGATTTTGTGTTTTGTTTTCTCCTTTTTGGGGGGTATTCACAGTGGGCCGGGCCCCTGGGCGAGACACAGCTACCTCTGTTGGCATCTTTTTAATACCAGGAACCCAGTGGCTCCAGCCCCTGAGCGGCTAGAATGAAATAAAGTGGAAAAAGAAAAAAAAAAAGGAAAAGAACCAAAAGCATAAAAAAAAAACAACAGATTTCTTGATGAAAACTGAAAATAAAAGTTTCCTTGTATTTTAGTGCTCTGGTTCAGTGTGGGTGCAGGTGCAGGTGGGTGAGTGAGTGGTGGGAGCCCTGGGACACGTGTAATTATAGAATAGGGGTTTCCTTGTATCAGAGTCCATGGGCGAGTTGAGTCTCCCATCTGTACACGTGTTCCGGGCAGGACGCTGTCCCCTGTGCACAGCCGCCACCCCCCACCGCCACCGGCGGTTCACAACCTGAGCCATGGGTGAGCCTGCGAAAGTTGGATTCTCCAAGCTGTAGAGATATCATGCATAAAATAAAAGGATCTTCCTCGCAGTGTGAAGATGGAACCAGGGCTGGAACAGTATTTTAACCAACCGAGCGCCACCTTGGTGTTTACGTGCAGAAAGGCTGAAGTCGGTTTTTCTGTTAACTTGCGTGGGTGAAATGTGGACACGAGATGCCTTCCTCCCGACCTCCAAGATGGGAACCTGGGCAGAGAGAAGCCTTACCTGAGGGGCAGCGCGGGTCCTGCGGTCAAGGAAGAGGGTTTCCGCGTCACAGGCGTGGGGGCCCCGATCTCGGGGCGATGTCAGGCGGAGGGCCCAGCTCTGGCGCCAGTGTTCGAGGGGCAGGGGTGGCTTCCGGGTACAGTACTTCCAGCTGAAGTCTACGAGGCCAAAGGCCCACGCCCGGAGTGGAGGTCAGGGAAGTCGAAGACGCCTCGTGGGAGAGCGGAGCTGTCCGCTCCGGTATCCTGCCCGGCCTCGCGCCGGCCGGACGAGCAAATAACTGTTCCGGCTTCCTCATCGGTCCCGAAGGCCGGAAGAGGCGGGACCTCGGGGCTCGCAGTACGCCTGCGCGAGACGTTTCCGTGGTGTGGCGTCTGATCTCCTGGCCGAGCCGCACGTGGAACTCTGTGCCTGCCTCTTCCAGGTGAGCCGAGGCTTCTGGCGGGTCTGAACGAAGTCGGGTGAGAGACAGTGAGACGCTGACTTGGATTGGGGCGTGGGTGGAGGGGCACCTGGGGCGTGGGACCCAGGGCCCGGGGCTCAGCGTGGAGTGGAGGTTTGGCTAGGCCTCGAGGGGCTAGGGGGCTGCTGAGTCGAGGTTCTGATGGAGTCACTGCCCTTTGCAGACCGTCTGCGGTCTGCCTTTCCCTTTCAGCACGTTTACCGTCTCCCGTTTTTATGTTCTCTAGGACCATGGGGCGCAAATTGGACCCTACGAAGGAGAAGCGCGGGCCGGGCCGAAAGGCCCGGAAACAGAAAGGTGCAGAGACCGAACTCGCCAAATTCTTGCCTGCAGGTAAGGGTCAGGCGTGCTTCCGCTCCTGATACTCCCGCTTTTGGGTTATTCTTCCATTATAGCCTAACTCCTTCTTTTTTTTTTTTTTTTTTGGTCTGTGTGTTCATTTTCTGTTCAAACAGAACTTTGTAATGATTTACTAGAAGACTAGTATGAATGAAATACTCTCATTAGCATTTAGAACTTAGGGAAGATGCAGCAGGGACACAAGAAGCTATGCAAGGAGAGGTGTGGTTTAAGTCACTGTTGAGGTCGAGTTCCGAGGAAGGGGCAGGCCATAGAGTTAAGAGAGCATAAAAGGTTTCTGTAAAGAAGTTGGGTTTTGAAAAAATGGTGTATCAAGTGAAAGTTGGGAAGGGGGGCAGTCCAGTCACTGTGAACTGTGTTGTGGAGGGGATGGAGATGATAACCACAAATCTGGTTCCTGCAGAACACTTGGTTGTCTACTGCATGGAAGAGAGGGCTGGAGGGGAGAAGGAGCAGGTAGTTCATATTCATCCTTGTACAAAAGATGTGATTAATTGAGGTGTTGTCAAGTGCTCAACACTGTGCTGAACCCTTTGGGCTCATGTCACCTCAGTGTCCTGTGAGAGAGGCGCTGCTTAGAAAGTGGATGCTGGGAGTTTAACTTGTAGGCAATTATCAGTTGTCTGTAATTGGTAATTATCAAAGAGCTGAGGTTTAAATATGTTATTTAGAGAATATATGAACAGCAGCAGTTGTGGAACCTGTGGTTGGTAACTGATTGTGCTGTTTAGTCACCTCAGTCATGTCTGACTTTTGGGACCATATGGACTGTAGCCCGCCAGGCTCCTTTGTCCATGGGATTTCCCAGGCAAGAATACTGGAGTGGGTTGCCATTTCCTTTGCCAGGGAACCGAGCCAGGGATTGAACTTGTGTCTGTTGTGTTGGCAGGTGGATTCTTTGCCACCAAGCCATCAGGGAATCCCTGGTAACTGATTAGTTGAGAGTAAAAGAAAGAGCAGAAGAAAGAATCTGTGTTATCAGAATGGTGATGATGCCATTGAAATCAGTCTGGAGAAGGGCCCACTTTGGATTTGGTTGGTGAACAACCAGATGGAGATCGTCTCCTTGGCATCTGTTACCGGCTCCTGGGAGAGCACAATGGTGTGTGTGCTCTGTCGTTTCCGACTCTTCGTCACCCCATGGACTGTAGTCTGCAACGCTCCTCTGTCCACTTGATTCTTCAGGGAAGACTACTGAAGTGGGTTGCCATTCCCTTCTCCATCCCAACTCAGGGATCAAACCTGAGTCTCCTGCATTGCTGAGGGATTCTTTATGGTCTAAGCCACCAGGGAAGTCCCCAGAGCACAGTGGAGTGGGTTACAGTTTATTCCCTTTAACTAGTGTTCTAGTTGTTTTTCCTTTTATTTTTTTCTTCCAGTGTTCTTTTTCATTTCTTCTGTAATATTCAATTCTGATTGTTTTTTAAACAGGTGGTGATGAAAATTCAAAAAGGCTGTCCAGTCGTGCTCGAAAGAGGTGAGTGTGTCCAGACCTACATTACACGGATTAAATCGGTCCTGCTCGTCTTTCAGCATGTGATCCCATGTGATCAAGCTGATGAGAAGGGCTGTTGGGGAGTGCCACATTTCCCTGCCCTGGAGGTGGCAGAGCCTGGGGGTGTGTTCCATTTTCCACTTTTTATGTGGTTTTAGGGCAGCCAAGAGGAGGTCGGGCTCTGCTGAAGCCCCCGAGATGAAAAAGTCCCCTGGGGCTAAACCATTGCCTGGGAAGCTACCAAAAGGTCAGTGAAAATAAGAGCTGGGTGCTACATTAGGAGTCCTCTGGGTCCTGGGGAAGGAGGGATTTCACTGAGCATTTCTGACATGAAAGAAACAGCCAGAGGATATTCTCAGGGGTAGAGAGGGCAGGCTCCATCAGTGTGTGGCTGCTGCTGGTCTAGGATTCTGCAAACCCTTTGGGGTCTCTGCAGGAGCTGTCCAGACACCTGGTAAGAAGGAAGCCTTGTCCTTATTTAATGTTGCTCGAGGCAAGAAGCGCCCAGCACCAACCCATAGCAGTGAAGAAGAGGAGGAGGAAGACTCTGAAGGGGATGGTGTGGTGAACCAGGGGGACCTCTGGGGCTCCGAGGACAGTGATGCCGATATGATAGATGACTATGGAGCTGACTCCAACTCAGAGGACGAAGATGAGGATGACGGCGAAGAGGTGAGTTCCATCCCTCTGGGTCTCCCAGAAGCGATCCTTGCCTTTTATTGGAGTCTTTCCAGATCACTTTGACTATCTCTCAGTGATGAGGGTAAGCCTGAGTAGAGAAAAGGGACTTTGGTGTGCCATCACTCTTTCAGAGCACTGGTTACCTCCTTTCGACACATGTGCAAGTTTAGAAGAGCCATAGATAGGGGGATAGAGTACTTTGAAAAATGAGAATGCTCAGTGCTGGTAAGGATGTGGAAAGGGCACACTTAAATGGCCCCACTGATGGCAATAGAAATGTGCATACATGTTTTTAAAAGTTTTCTTAAAAATCATCTGGTATCTGAGAATCTTAAACAGGTTTTTCCTTTTGATATAGCAGTTCCACTTTAGGAACATGATCAAGGATGTAGACAAAGGTTCACTTGTTAAAGTATAAAAAGTTATTACGTATTATACAGTTCGTATATTTGTGTTATTAAAGAAGTTCAAGCAAAATCCAGTAAAGTGTCCACTTGCACCACTCGCCCACGAACCCCCTCCTCTCTACAGAGCTACCATTTTCAAGTTTCCAGGCACCATCTGTGTGGACCATAATGCCAAAACTCTGGAAGCTTCCAAAATGTCCAGTTTACTTAAGTGAATTAAAGTTCATTCATACATGAAATCAATGTTTGGCCAATATGTCTGTGAAAATGCTTGTGTTCTAACTGTGAATGAGAAAGGCAAGAGGCAAACTTGAAAATGCATCATGATTTTAACTGAAAAATGATGTAAAGTAAGTGGGGGGGGGGATACGGCAAAACTGGCACCCTCGGGGCAGTTTTCGTCCCCACCCCGTGTACATATGGTGTGGGAAGACCAGTATAATGAACCCTTTGAATCCCTCGCTTTATTTCAACAATGGTAAATGTTGTGCCAAGCGTACAGTCACTTTTGTAGGGTCTATATTTCTTTCTGGGACAAGAGTTAAACGTTTGTATTTAGGGAAGAAATAGGTGGGAAGTGTTCTGTGGGCTGGTGGATTGGCCGGCTTTGCACTGCCAGCCGCTTGTCTCTCTTTTCAGTTGCTGCCCATTGAAAGGGCTGCTCGGAAGCAGAAGGCCCAGGAAGCAGTTGCTGGGTGAGTTGTGGAAACTCTTCGTCGGATGGAACGTAGGTGCCAGCTGGGGAGGAGGAAAGCTCAAGGAAGGAGGAGGTTATCTGCTTTGATCTGTTAGCCGCCCTGCCCCTGGGTTTGTGTGCAGGGGCCAGTGGAGCGAGGAGGAGACTGACGAAGAGGAGGAAGAGGAGCAGGCGTCTGCAGGGTCAGGCCCCCGAGAGGACGAGGAGTCGGAGGGGGGCCTGCAGATCAATGTGGAGGAGGAGGAGCCTTTTGTGCTGCCCCCTGCTGGGGAGATGGAGCAGGATATCCTTCCAGAGCAGGGTCTGGGGGGATGTGTTTGTGAGAAGGGGTTTCCAGGCCTGCTCTCCCCCCATTATGCACACACCCAGAAACATTTCCTTAATGGGCCCACATGCCCAGGCTCCAGACTTGCAGCGTGTTCACAAACGCATCCAGGATATAGTGGGCGTGCTACGCGACTTTGGGACTCAACGGGAGGAGGGTCGGTCCCGCTCGGAATACCTGCAGCGGCTTCGCAAGGACCTGGCCACTTACTACTCCTACGGAGACTTCCTGCTGGGCAAGCTCATGGACCTCTTCCCTCTGTCCGAGGTACCCACTCGCTCGTCCCTGACGCTGTTCCTGTATGTCTTTCCTCTTCCCCCATGTAAGGAGGTAGCTGGCCTCCTGGCCCTCTGCTCTCCTGGTGGAGCTCCTTGGCCAGCCTGACCCCTTCCCCCCCACCATCCTCTGTCCCAGCTGGTGGAGTTCCTGGAAGCCAATGAGGTGCCTCGGCCCATCACCCTCAGGACCAACACCTTGAAGACCCGGCGCCGGGACCTTGCTCAGGTGAGGGGTGGGAGGCAGTGACTTCTGTGCATCCAGAGACTCCTGCATGCCACCCTGAGCATTTCCGGCCACAGTCCGGGGGGGGCGAACCTTGACAGGCCTGGTGCCAAGCTGAGTTGATCTGCCGGCTCAGGGCCGAGGACCCCTGTGGAATGGGAAGCTCGTCCCCTCAGCTTCCTGTGACTGGGCGGTGATGGAAGTGCTGCCTCACAGAGAGATGGGTGGAGTTGTCTGCCTCGTCAGTCATGGGGAAGCTGGTGAGATCTCGATTCTTGCCTGCAGGAAAAGACAGGACACACAGGCGCAAGCAGTATTTGAAGCTTATTGTTTCCGAGGGTTCACGGGCTCCAGGTTAAAAAACGGGTTTAGAGGCAGTGGTGTGGCCCTGTGTGTGGCGTGTCTTCTGGTGTTAGATAGCCTGACAACTGTCTTTAAAGTGCTGTCACCAGTAATGTTCAACTGATGGCAAGGGGGCTGAGGCTCTTGGAAGATTGGGTTCTGCTTCCAGGAGATGAAAGAGCAAGAGCTGGCAGTCTGCACCTTGGGGATGGAGTTCAGACCTTGAGTCAGAACCTGAGGCCCAGAAAGGGGAGACACGGGGAGAGATGGGAGAAACTGCTCAGTGCATCTGTGCCGACTGCATCCTGACAATTGTCGGGCTATGGTGCCACAGGCCTCTGGCTTGGCCATGTCCTCATGTCTCCACCCTCTCTCAGAGTCGACTTCAAGGTTCTAAAACCTTCATCCGTCTCAACCTCTAGGCACTCATCAATCGTGGAGTTAATCTGGACCCCCTGGGCAAGTGGTCCAAGACGGGACTCGTGGTGTATGACTCCTCGGTGCCCATTGGTGAGTGCGCCCTGTCCCAGAGCCCTTCCACCCCTGCCCTCGTCCCAGCGCATCACCTGCAGGCTCTCCTCCACAGGGGCCACGCCCGAGTACCTGGCCGGGCACTATATGCTGCAGGGGGCCTCCAGCATGTTGCCTGTCATGGCCTTGGCACCCCAGGAACACGAGCGGATCCTGGACATGTGCTGTGCCCCTGGAGGAAAGACCAGCTACATAGGTAAGAGGAGGGGCCAGCAGGGCGGGGACTCATCCTCAGGAAGCGGGGGTGAGGTCAGTGACTCGAGGGTGCTCAAGAAACAGCCCCAGGCGGCCCAGCTCTATCCCCATGGGTGCCTCTTCCTGCCCACGTGACCCTAGGCAAGGCCCTGGTCCTCTGTGGTCCTCTGTAGAATGGCGAGGTGATGGTGCACAGGTTGGCCTTTGTGTCTTGCTTGGATCGTGAGAGTTACATGTGTGTGCACAAGTAACCATTACATACAGTTAGTTATAACCACTTAATTATGCTGTTACAACTTGGAAGAAGTAACTGAGGCTGTTGAGTAACAGTGGAAAAACCACCCTGGCAGGTTTGCTCATCACAGGGCCCATCACAGACTGGATGGACAGCGGGGAACATGGCTTCCTGGGGAAGGGCTGAGGCTTCACCGGCAGATTCCTGGGCTGGCGGGGAGAGGGGAAGCCCAGCAGGTGTGGAGGCAGAAAAGCTGCAGCTGAGCCCTGTGCCCTTCTCCCTCCAGCCCAGCTCATGAAGAATACAGGTGTAATCCTCGCCAATGATGCCAATGCCGAGCGGCTGAAGAGCGTGGTGGGCAACCTACACCGGCTGGGGGTCACCAACGCCATCATCAGCCACCATGATGGGCGCCAGTTCCCCAAGGTGGGGCTCCCGCTGGGTGTCTCTCCTCCCCACTTCCTGATCTCAGGATGTTGAGACTTGCCCCTGGGAAGCTCACGGTATGGTTCCACTGCCCCAAATATCTGCTTCACCTCTCCTTTCCCCAGGTGGTGGGCGGCTTTGATCGAGTCCTGCTGGACGCTCCCTGCAGTGGCACTGGCATCATCTCCAAGGACCCTGCTGTAAAGACGAACAAGGTGCAGGGGTGGGGGACCAGCTGAGAAGCATTGGCGGGGTAGTTGGGGGAGGGGGCCCCCCAGGCAGCCAGCAGCGCGCTCCTTCCAAAGTCCCCTGTTGGGATTCTAATGCCTGGGTCTCTCCATCTTGGGGGCAGGATGAGAAGGACATCCTACGATGTGCCCACCTACAGAAGGAGCTGCTCCTGAGCGCCATCGACTCTGTCAACGCCACCTCCAAGACGGGGGGCTACCTCGTCTACTGCACCTGCTCCATCATGGTGAGGCCTGTCGGGGTGCGGGAGGGAGCTAGCCTGGGGCTGTCATGCCCTCAGCACCCCTTCAACTCCAGCTCTGCTTTCCTTCCGTCTCCCACACACGTCAGGTGGAGGAGAATGAGTGGGTGGTGGACTACGCCCTGAAAAAGAGAAACGTGCGCCTGGTGCCCACTGGCCTGGACTTCGGCCAGGAGGGCTTCACCCGCTTCCGGGAAAGGCGCTTCCACCCCACGCTACGCTCCACCCGCCGCTTCTACCCTCACACCCACAACATGGATGGCTTCTTTATTGCCAAGTTCAAGAAATTCTCCAATTCTATCCCCCAGTCCCAAACGGGTAAGCGATGTGCTCTTTGCTCTCTTCATCTCCGCCTCTGCTCTTTACCCCTCCAGAGACCTTGGAGTGTGGCTGCAGGAAACGGCGGGTCCTTGCACCCCTAGCCTAGCCTAGCCTTGAATGCTGGGGTGAGAGATCCTTTTCATTCCAGCTAGAATTGGTCCCAGGCCTGAACCCCATTTGGGTATGTTAAAGGCTTCGCATGGATCGAGCCCTTTCCTCAGTTCTGCCAGGCAGCTGCAGTTGTCAGCCCTGAATGCTCTGCAGCGGGGCTGTGGTTTCTTGGCCCAGGGCGGCCTTCCTGGTAACAGATCTCAGCCTCATCAGCACTGGCTGGCACAGGACTCCTCAGAACCGTCAGTTCTCTGCAGTCTCACTAATTGCAGATGGTTTTCTTGGCTGTCTTGAGTAGTTTGGGCTGGGCTATAAAGGCCAGGGTGGGGCTTTTTGAAACAAACCCGAGAGCTCTGCCTCGTGGGATGTCACCCTAGGGTTGGTTGGACGAGGGAGAGGCCGGCTTCTTTGCACACAAACTTGGTGACTTTTCTCTATAAACAGTGCCTCTTAACATGAGTCACATTTGAATGTTAACACATCTCTTCAAGAAGTAGCAAAGTACCCTGTATTTTTCTTGCTGTAACTTTAGAGGTACATATTTAATACCTCAGTCTTCATTCACAAAGTACTAGCTTGTTTTTAGTTACTCCGTGTGCCTTCTTATTTTTCTCCATCTCATCAAAAGCTGCATGGAAGAAAGCATCTTTTCTGATTAAAAGAGAAGCCCAGTGCTTCAAGTTTGTTCAGGATTCACCTCCTGCTGGCCGCCAGGGGGCGCAGCTTCCTCTGAAATCCCTTTGGCCCATGGATGGGTAATGGTATCTTCTCTATTACAGATTCCAAATACGACTTGAGTAGAGGCTAGGTGAAACTAAGTAATCTGAATCTAGGTGATCTGCCCTTAGGTACTTCCCCTGTTGTGTGGGGCACTTGGCCAGGAGTGGCACCCAGGAAGTCTCCTTACTTTAATATCTCTGCTTTTCCTGCTCCACTGATGATCATGACCCAGGATGAGGCCTTACTTCTCAGACTGTTTAATTTTAACCACAGGCAATTCTGCGACATCAACCCCCGCAAACCCAGACTTGCCCAACCTGAATGGGCAGGTGACCCCCAAGTCTGAGAGTGGCAGCATACCTGCCAAGAAGACTGGTCAGGCAAAGCAACGGCTGCAGAAACAGCTGCATCCCAAGAAGTCTTCATCCCAGAAGCAGAATGGCATCTCCAAAGGGATGGATGCAGAATTGTCCGCTGTGTCTTCTGTCACAAAGGCCCAGGTGTCCTCCAAGCTCCAAAACAGTAGTCAGCCGGCTGTAACAGCAGCAGTGGCTAGGGAACTGAAGGAGGCTGGGAAACTAAAGCAACAGTCACCCGAACTGCAGTCCTCCAGGAAAGCTGCCTTCCGGAAGCAGCGTGCTCCTCGCAAGGCCATGGACACAGACTTGCCTGCAGCACTGTCCCTCTCCAAGACCCAAGCCACACCCAAGCCTGAGGACCGTGACCAGCTTGTTGGAAACACCACAGGGGTTGAGAAGGTTAAGCAGCAGGTGGCAGAGCAACCTTTCAAGAAAGCTGCCTTCCAGAAACAGAATGGCACCCCCAAGGGACCTAAGACTCCCACCGTGTCGTCCTGCAGTTCCAGCCGGCCCCCGCCAGCAAAGAGGAGAAAATCTCAGTCCAGAGGCGGCCGCCAGCCTCCGCTGACTTCAGTGGATGGTTGAATTAGACTGCCATTGTTACAGGGTTGGAATTCTTTCCTCTGTGAGGATGGCTTCCCAACCATGGATGTGAAATTTAATACATGTTTTACAGTCTCTGGCCACTGTGTGTTTTTTGGGGGTGGGTACTGGCTTTGCTGCTTAAAGAGCAGAGGAGGGAGGGTGAGACAGGGATCCTCAGAAGAGGGGTCAGAGCAGTGTACTGAGAAATCAGGTCAGTTCCTGGGGACTCGGAAGGAGATTCATGGAGTCAGAGCTGGGTGTTTGGACTCAGGAGGGAGGAGGGCAATAGGAATGTAGATGGATTTCGTGCCACCAGAACCACGCATGCCGCCGGGGCCGGGCCCGGCGCCCCCCGCCGCCATGGCGCTCCGCAACGACCTGGGCTCCAACATCAACGTGCTCAAGACCCTCAACCTCCGCTTCCGCTGCTTCCTGGCCAAGGTGCACGAGCTGGAGCGCCGCAACCGACTGCTGGAGAAGCAGCTGCAGCAGGCGCTGGAGGAGGGTAAGCAGGGCCGGCGGGGCCTGCCTCGCCGCGACCAGGCCGTGCAGACCGGCTTCGTCAGCCCCGTCCGACCCCTGGGGCTGCCCCTGGGCTCCCGGCCAGCCGCCGTTTGCACCCCGTCGGCGCGGGTCCTGGGGTCGCCCGCGCGCTCGCCGGCCGGCCCCCTCACGCCGTCCGCGGCCTGCCAGCCGGCGCCCTCCACCTCCGCCTCCACCGCCTACTCCTCGTCGGCCCGCTTCATGCCCGGCACCATCTGGTCCTTCTCTCACGCCCGCCGGCTCGGGCCGGGACTGGAGCCCACTGTGGTGCAAGGGCCTGGCCTGTCGTGGGTGCACCCCGATGGGGTGGGCGTCCAGATCGACACCATCACGCCCGAGATCCGCGCGCTCTACAACGTGCTGGCCAAAGTGAAGCGCGAGCGGGATGAGTACAAGCGGAGGTAGGGACCGGGAAGGTGGGGACGGGGCTCAGCTCAGGCCGCACTCAGCCCGGGCTACCTGTCCAGGAGCACAGAGCCTCTGGGGCCCAAGAATAAGGGAGGAGTAAGTATGAGTAAAGTTCCTGCTGTTTAAGGAGGAGCTAGGAAGTCCGCAGATGAGACTGGAATCCACAGAGAATGCAGAAGTCAGGCTCGTGACAAGAAGGAGGAGTCTAGGAGCAGAATCCTGCCGGGAACCCTTGTTTTTCATCTAGGCAGCAGCGTTTGCACCGCTGTGTTAACTGTGGCGTTTTATGACGTGTAAAAGGGACATTGTTCTGAGAAAATACATATGGGCTACCACTTACATCCCCCTGCCAGCCTCAGCCCTCAGAGTGACTTTGTGATATAAGCTCCAAATACTGATCAGAAGTTAGGGGCAAAGGATGAACCTTTAATTTGGGAATCTAAGTGCCATGACAAGTGGTGGTGGGGTGGGGGGTGGTTTGCGGTTTGGGCTGAACCTTGGAGGAGGTGATCCTGACACTGCCCAGGGTTTCCAAAACAGTGTCCATAGTAGCAGCCCGTGCCTGCTCTAGTTCCACTGCCGCTGAGAGGCTCTGGGGCCCTCAAGGCATTTCTGAGAGTTGATCAAAAAAGGGGGTGTGGGGAAGAGGGAATTTCCTAGGGAAAGGTGAAAGGCCTGTTGTCAACCCCGGGCGAGTGAAAGCCGAGGGGATCTGAAAGTGCAGGAGGAGGTGTGACGAGGGTGGCAAGGACCTGAGTAGGAGGAAGCTGGAAACATGGACACACCCATGATGGACTGCCTCACAGCACAGCTGGGGCAAGCCCTGTTGCCCTGAGAATAAAGCGCTGGCTCTCGGCAGGAAACCCTGCAGGGTAGCCCAGGGGGCCCGAGGAGGGGATGCGATGCAGGAGTGCTGGCTGCATCCCGGGGATCCCCTGATAACCAGCCTGTGAGGACAGAAGCTTGAGTACCGCCAGCACTTTGTAGACCCTGTGCCCAAGGTGCCATGACTGAAGACCAAGGAGATGAGGGCTCAGGGGGAGGCTCTGCCTTCAGGTTTAACCTCTTAGTGTGCTACTCTGACCCCTTGTGGACAACTCTGGGAATTACCCTTCCAGCCTGGTAAAGCAGAGATTTATGTCTCGAGGGGACTGGCTGAATGTTCTGGGGAATGACTGCTGGGTCTGGCGGCGACCTTCAGGAATCTGTAACCCGCCAGAGTCTAGCAGACCACAGACCAGCAGACTTTCTGAGGTTGAGTTCTGCCCTCAGAAAGCTGGTTGGCTTCTTTAATGGCAGTCTGTGATTTAAGTGTCCTTGGGACGCTCAGCTATCCCCAAACCATCGTTTAGATCCACCTAGATCCACCCAGAACCATTCTGCCCCTGCCCCACCCCCTGCCCCTGCAGGAGTTAATTGACACAGTCAGCAGTGGAACACGGACAGTTCTGGAATACATCCATAACCACAGGAACAACTGCTGTTGTTGGGGCGTTTTGTTTTTTTCACTGACGGCGTATCCGTCCTTGGTTCAGCTGTCCAGGGCAGCAAAGAGTTATTCCTCCGGGACTGATGAGCTCATGGCTCTGCAGCACACTGCTGTGCAGAGGGCCCCACGGCCAGGCTTGGCTGGTACGTGACACCAGCGGTCACTCATTCTTCCACCCCAGATCCCCTTGCCCTCGTTCTGTCTCTCTACAGCAGCTCTGACTCTGGTCTGTAGCCTGGAAAACATGGGCATAGTCTGAGCACTAAACTGAAAAAGACCTGAGGCCTCCTAAGTTCTATGTTCAGCTTCCCTGCCAAGAGTGACCTTGGGTGGGTCTCTTTTTCCCCATCTCAGTTTTTCCAATATCGCCCTTGGCCAACTACAGTGCTTCCTCATTTCACTCAAGGATGCTGTGTATTAGGAAGAAAGGTGTTCACTAAATGTAGAATACGTGGAAATTGCTCAAATTCTACCCATGCTTAGAGAACCTTATAAGTGAGCCTGGTTTTGAATAGAGGTCAAAATAAACCCACTCATGGGAAAGTCTGGCTGGAGTATGAATAGAATTCTAGTGAGGTTCCAGATGGTTTATTTTCAGATTTTGTTTTTTAAACCCTGTAAGATTTTATTAATCTTCATCCTTACCTAACTTCCTTGAGTTTCTCCCTGAAACAGTTGAGTTCACAGAACTGCCCTTCCTGGTGCATATCCTCCAGGGTTACTGTCCCCCGGTCAGTCTTGCTTGCTTCCTCCAGGGACACAAGGATCCCAGGGTCCTCAGGGTACGACATCCCATGCCCTCACGTTGTAGATGGAGAAACCAAGGCCCAGAAAAGCTGCAGGTCTTATCTAAGAAAACACATAACCTGATGCTGCTGGGGCCCTTCGCTGACCCTAGCTGTCTGAATGGGAATGCCAGAGCGCAGGGGGAGGAGGACTGGGGGGCTGCCGGGGAAGGCTGGGCCCGGAGCCAGGAAGGTGGGAGCGGGCCTGCTCTGAGCTGGCGGGTGGAGGCCAGGCTGCCTGCCTCCTTCCCACCAGCCACCCGGGAGGGGCAGCCGCGGTGATGTCGAGGAGTTATTATTAGGAATACTGCAGTGCGGATGTGAGTGAGGAACAGGAGAGCAAGGAGAGATGGGCCTGGAGGAGGAGCCCGGGGAAAAGAGATGGAGGCAGGGAGGAGAGGACCAGACCCCAGGCCTGAGTGTGTGTCCTCGGTGTGTGTTAGGCCGCTTCCTAACCACCTTTCTGGGCATTGAAGCTTCTCTCCCGGTGCAGTTCCTCTCCTTTTTCAGTCTGGAAGAAGTCCTTCCAGGATGGGGAAGAAGTGCTGGGCTGTTATGTCAGTGGGGTCCGAGGAGTCTGCTGGTGCAGCCAACATCAACCCTAAGCAGGGGTGTTGCCCCGCCACTGCCCTTCTGCCTCCATGATGCGGAGGGGGATGTGCTGGCTTGCTCCCAGCTCTGGGCAAGGGCTCTGCCTTGGCCAGGAGTGTTTTCTAGCCTACTCCTGGTCTTAGGCTCTGCCTTCTGCAGCTCTGGAGGTGGTTCTTATCCACCACTCTAGCGGGGGACTTGTCTATGCTCCAGTTTCCCTCTTCCCCTGGGTGTGGGCGCCTAGTGATCCCAGCTTGTGCCCGGGCACCTCTGTGCACACCGAGGGCCTCCGGGTTGGTAGTCTCCAGAGCTCATGGGGGTGGACTTTGAGCGCCTCCTACCAGGCTCTTGGCCAACGCCATTGATGCCCTGTGTGTCCCGCAGCTGCTTTTACAGGGTTAATGGTCCCACGGGAGGCAGGGCAGCTCTGTTCTGGTGCAGGCAGGAGAGCAGGAGCCCGGATCTGTGGACCGAAGGTGGGAGACTGGGCTGGGTGGTGTGGGCAGGAGGAGGGGTCGAGTCGGGCCGGGGGCTTGAGCGGGACGGGCCCTGTGAGGGCACAGCGCAGCCACAGTTGGGTGTGAGGCCAAAGTTTCCGGGAAGGCAGCTGGGCGCTGGGCGCTGGGCGCTGGCCAGGAGCCTGGAGCCACACGTCCCTCCTGTTGGGGAAGCCGACCCAGGGCCTGGCCTGAGCCAGATAGGTGGGAGGTGGGGGATGGAGGGGAGAGGGCCCCGCACCCAGGTGCTAACCCTTCACTGTCTGCAGGTGGGAAGAGGAGTACACGGTGCGGTTACAGCTGCAGGAGCGTGTGAATGAGCTCCAGGAGGTGAGGGCCGCCCGCCCGCCCTCCCCACCATCCCTTGCCCGCTGCTCGCTGCCTGCCTGCCACTCACCTCAGTTGGTTTCTCCTGACCGTAGGAAGCCCAGGAGGCTGACGCCTGCCAGGAGGAGCTGGCCATGAAGGTGGAACAGCTGAAGGCTGAGCTGGTGGTCTTCAAGGGGCTCATGAGCAATGTGAGTATGGCCAGGTCATCCCTTGCCTCTCGTGCCACCCCCACACCAGCCTGGACTCAGCCCCAAGGCTGCCTGAGGCCCAGGAGCAGGCCTTTCTAGTTTCGCCTGTTCACCACCCGGCGTCCCACTTTATGTGCTTCCATTTCCACCCCCTTGCCTGCCCCCTAACTCTAGAGAAGAGGAAGGAAAGTCCCGTTGGCCTCCAGGGGGACTCGGACTTCTTTGCTCGCAGTGTGGGCCCTGGTGACATCCTGACCTGCTCTGCCT